TAACTCACTGATGATCCTGGTGGAACTGCCAACAAAACTTTAAACTTGTGTATAATATATATATACATATATATATGTATATATATATGTATATATATACATATATATTTCACTTCATTTTTTAAGGACACATCATGTGACCATGACATTCACCTCGACATGTGACAGAGTAATCTCTCTGTAAAAATCTTTCACTTCGATGAATGAATTCTGATTTCCTACTGTAAATATAGCGACATAATGGAACCAAACCCCAGCAGACTGATCTGAACTTTAACCAAAGCCGTCAGTGTTTTGACAAACTTTACGTGACGTCATGTCTGGGAGCAGCTCTGTATAAATCCACCTTCTTTGCAGATTTAACAACAGCTCTTTGTGTACAAGACTAGAAGAAGAATGAGACGGGAGATCTGAATGAACAATAAGGGTTAGCCTGTGGCTAATTCCTCCATTAGCTAACATTAGAAGCTAAAGAAGTTTAAAACCGTCGATGACATCATCTCACTGCAGCTCAGGCTTAGTCACAGACTCAGTCACAGACTTAGACTCAGATCCAGATACAGACTAAGTCACAGACTCAGTCTCAGAAACAGACACAGACTCAGTCTCAGACTCAGACCCAGTCTCAGACTCAGTCTAAGAAACAGACACAGTCACAGACTCAGTCACAGACTCAAACTCAGTTACAGACTCAAACTCAGTTACAGACTCAGATCCAGATACAGACTAAGTCACAGACTCAGTCTCAGAAACAGACAGTCACAGACTCAGTCACAGACCCAGATACAGACTAAGTCACAGACTCAGACTCAGTCACAGACTCAGTCACAGACTCAGTTACATACTCAAACTCAGTTACAGACTCAGACTCAGATCCAGATACAGACTAAGTCACAGACTCAGACCCAGTCACAGACTCAGTCACAGTCACAGACTCAGTCTCAGTCACAGTCTCAGACTCAGTCACAGTGACAGACCCAGATACAGACTCAGTCACAGACCCAGTCACAGACAGCAGGTCCAACCATGGCTCCCTCTCCTGTGGGCCGGCACCAACCCTCCACTTCAGCAGCAGAAATCCCCATCTGGTCACACACAGTATAATGATGGGCTTTGTTTTGAAGGAGCTGTAAAGGATTCTAAGTTTAAAGCCCCAAAATAAGCAGGAACAATAACACACTGTGTTTATGGCTTCCTCCGCAGAGC